TTTTTTTTCCCCCCCCCCCCCCCAACATAAATACTTTAACTTCAACATTGACCTTAACTTCTAATTTTCATATGCAAATTGCTTTGAAAGCAATTCAAGCAGAATGGAACACTTGAAATAAGCTTAAATGCAAACATACTATGGAGGTTTTATTAATATCACCCTTCGAAACTTTGATTTTGTATATCAGAAACCAAGGTCTCAGGTAGATCTGAAAAGATGCCTAAATGCATATTGCCTGCAGTTAAGCTTACATCCATTGTGCCTCAACCCCATTAAGCTTACCCTCCAGCACCTATAAGTCATATTAAGTCTGCTGTCCTATGACTTCTGCCACTGGCAGCTTGCATTTGGTCAAGGTACCAGAAGTGGGACGAATAAAAAAAAAAAAAATAAAAAATAAAAAGAAGATCCTGCACTGCTAAAGAGCTAAAGAAACAAGAATTTTTCCTATCCTCATATATTAACAAGCAAGCACCTGGGACTGCTTATACACCTCCTGTGCTTCCACAGGTAATTCAAATACAGCATGTACAACTGGAAGATTTTCTTAAAATACTGTAAATGTTCAGTCTTATTGTTGCCAGAATAAATATAAATATCATAATAACCAGGGAAAAAGGCTTTTCTATGAAAAAAATTAGAACATGAAAGTCACACCGAAACACATGCATAACAGTTGTAGTATCTTAGTCTTTAGAAGATGTAAGCCAACTAAAAGGGAATTCAACAAATGTCATTTGTTAGTCAGAGTTCTCATTCAGCAACCCACTACACCCTGAAATAAAATGCTGCAGTACTGACACTTAGAGGGAACAGTTACGTACATAATTAATGCAGAGATATAAAGAAATTATTTTAATTAAAAACAAAGCAAACATATCTTGCCTACCCAGCTGCTCAATAATGCTGGACACTGTCCCAAAGAGCTTTAATTCAACCTCATCAGGCAGAATCACTGATAAGTCTTCAACAGGAGGCAGTTCCTGAAAACACCAAATCAATTTTCAGAATATAATCTCATCACACTAAAACATTCATCACTTTGTTGATGCATAAATTTGACAGTCAGAAAAACCTCCTAGCATTTTGAAGATTTAATAAAAAAAAAAAAAATCTAGTTTGATTTGTGTCTTCCAGAACAATTCTAAATGAACTCACTTTGGGGGAATGTGACTTTTGAAGACACCTTTCCTACTGAGACGCTGCTCTATGCACATCCATTGTAACTAAAGTATAAGCCAATTTCATTCAAATGGAGAAAACCAACAACCGATAGACATTTTGTTCATTCTTTTGAACCTTCAAGTTAGATAAATTAAGTTCAATGTAAAACACAATAATTAATCAGTGATAATAAAAAAAAAAAATCAGACAAGTTGTAATCACATTCAATGCATGACAGAAGAAAAACATACACAGCAAGAGATCAAATACTGTGTAATACACCAGATATGTAACCTCGGATTCAACAAAACAGTGTCTGTCATTTAAGCCATGACTCGGACCATTATGGAAATGTAAAGATCACAACCACCTACACAAAGAAAATTACTTTTTAGCAAAAAGTTGTATTTGGTACAAAAGGATAATCAGTGAACATTTAAAAAATGCCCAACTTCAGATATACAAATGATTACAGTACAAACAATATTCAAATTAGACTTTTTCCTCAAATGTAAGCATGAAAATCTGTTATCACTGAACTTATTTACCTCCAATTTACTCATGAACTAAGATTTCTATGTATATACTATATTGTGGTGAATTCAATATGGACTGTGTGTAATATAAGGTAAGGGCAATCACAGTAAGAATCATCATCAAATTCAACATCATCTGAATTTGGAGGTAGAGTCCAAGTCTCAGCACTGAACTGCACTTTTAAAGGCCATCACCAGAAATAAAATCCCTCTCCAATAGAAGAATCTTATCCTGCCTTATCAAAATTTCACCTGACAATCGTCACTCTTATCAAAAGTGCTTGGCAAAGGCTTCTAGAGCAGACTAAAGACCAAACAGAGGCCAAGACTTTCCAGACCGTATAACACTGCATTAAAGCCAAGATGTGAATTCAGATAGAAACACCACACCCTTCTAGAGGACAGTAAGTTTTCCAACATTAAACCAACTTCACTGCTAAGACTTAACCAAGTCATGGATGCCAGAGCAATTCAAAGGCCAAAGATCAGAAGGGAGAAACCTAAATTTTGATCATAAATCTCAAACTGGTGAACTGTACCACTTGTCATACTATATACAATATCTGCCAATCTAAACTTCAAAGCAGAAGATTTCTAAAACAGTTCCACTAACGCTCCTTCCTGCGTGCAGGTTTTTTCCCCTAAGCACATATTCCACTTAAATACTTTCTTTAACCTTTTCTTTTATCTTTGACCCACGCTTTAGCAAGTTAGCTACCATTGGGGACTTTTACGTACAAGATTCATCAGCATGTATCATTTTTAAAAGATACACTTTAATTTTCAAATTATATTCCCTCGAATTTACATAAGAATCTACAACATTTTTTACACAGACTAATTCTATTACAGTAGAATGGCTTAGTACAAGACACAGTAAATAATGTAGTTGCTAGAACTTCACTGCTTATTAACTATCAGCTATAGCTTTGCTGAACCAATGAAATTAATCAGACCAGTACTTAAAAGGAAGACAATGTTTCATAAACACTGGCACTTGAAGCTAGTAAGCTGACAACACAAAAGAGCAGATCAACAAAGCATTTTCAGACAAATAGGAGTTTTATTTAAAGAAATAAGATAAAAGGTAAATAAAACTTGATAAGTACATCTACTGAGAAAGGACATTTGTTCAAAAGTCCAGTCCTGTAAAAAAAAAAGTTGTCATAGAAGCACTTATAATGGTTCTACTGTTAATCTTACTTCAAAACAAAGTGCATGTAAGCAGGAATTGCTCTCATGTTTACTCCTTCAGAACACAATGTTATGTGTGTTCCTCAATCTTTGACTAATTTCAGGGTTAAAACAATATCCTAAGAGCTTTTCTTTACTCCAAGTGTCCCTAGAGCTACAGTTTAAGAACAAACAACATACTCCCATCTCCTGTTGGTGCTACTACTAATGTATGTCAATGCCTCAACCTCTCCAACCAGCCAGCTAGCACTTCATCTACAGAGAGCACTGAAGCAAAGGTAAATGTATCCAAATGTATCTGCTCTTCAGAGGTACTTTTTTCCTCTACCTGTCTAGTAATTTCTTGTACCCTTCACCATTCCAGAAAGCATTTTTTATGAAGGGGATAGATCTATAGAATAACAGATAAATATATACTGTTAATGTAAATTGACATTACACTGTTACACTATCCTTTTATTTGTAATTCATTACAAATGATGAATAGCTAATCATGTTGACAGAGTATTACTAAAACTCATCCCGTTAAACCTCTCAATTTTGAGATAATGAGGAATAATGGCAGCAATACTCAATGCGTGTTATTTATGAGAACCAAAACCAAAAGATAGTATCTTGACGCAAATAAATGTTCTGATCTGCAATACATAAAACAGGGTGTAACAAAAACTGCAGAATAAAATAAATACAAACCACTTCTACGACCACTCTAATAGTTTTGCTTAAGTGAGCAGAGGCAGTGCAATCTGAATCTCTGGGAGGCTCAATACAGGAGGCTTTGAAATTTTTACCTCAAGGCTACACGTATTTAGAATATGCCTGTAAGACACAGCAGACCTTCAAGTCCCTCACACAGAAAAAGGATGATTAAAGCCTGCATACACAAACAACAAAAGTGTACTAAAACATCCAGAATGTTAACCAGAAATTTATTTGTTTTCATTAATTACAACGGTGATTTTATACAAATATGAACCTAGAATGAGCTGTGAACCACACACTTCAGAGTGGTCTCAACATCAGTATGTTATTTGTCAGTACAAATAACACTTAAGTTATTAACACTGCTGTACCTGAACCAGTGTAAAAACACACATTCAATCACTAAGTATTGCAATGACTTAAAAATACATTAAGTTAAAATATCTTAAGTTGGGTTACTAGAAAAAAGTTTAAAAGATAACACACTGTACTTACATCAATAGGCAATTCATCTTTTGTTTTAACACAGTAAGATCTGTTATCCTTCTCATTTGGACGATCATCTTCATCAGACACCACTGAAGGAGAACACGAAGAGGAGGATGTAGTTGATGAACTATCTGAATCCGTATCACTGAATAAAACCAACATGGGAGTTAGAATATAGACTCCTACATCACAGATAAAAAGAGTAGTTAGATTATACATTACTCAAATACTTTTGTTTACCAGATAAGTTTTTCTTAAATGTACACAACTGGATACAGTAGGGCCGCAAACTTTCCTGAACCTACAAGCCACTGGACAAGATCATTAAAAAAAAAAAAAAAAACAACAACACTCAAAAGCGGTAGCTTTGGCAGTTCAGAGCAAATGCTAACAGCTACCACGGCTTGCTCGGGTTCCCACTGTTTCACTGTCAAATGGTACATATGTCAGCATCACCTCTAAGTTCACCAAGTCCAGTTTCCCCCGCTAGCTACTCCATGCAAAAGTCCAGCACCAGCATAACTCCGTCAGACATATGCGACAGCCACAGTTTGGGACCTATGCTTCATTGGTTTGCAAGTGAGATGAGACATTAGAGTCACAGCATGATCACTTCAGTATAGTACTTAGGTAAATACAGCCAAATTATGACCATAACATCTATGCACAATCAGCATATTTCCATTTTATGCACCACTTAAATTCCCAGTATTCAACATCACTTTACAGAACTGAGCACACAAAAAAATTTCCAAGCTAATACATTAAACTACCTTGTACAGCTCACAGCCGCTCTTCTTGTACAACCCCAACATTAGCATAATGCTAAGCGAAAGTCATGAAAATACTTATTCCAAGCAATGCATCTTGCACTATAAAGAAAAAAAAAACCCACCTAATTTCTGCAGATAAAAAGCATTAATTTCATAATTCACAGTCTGTCCAAATTCCCTAGAACGTGTTTACACAGATTAGTAACTTAATATTTCTCTCTGGCACACGCTTAAGAGTTTTTTCTCTTAGATTCTTAATATTTCAAGTAAAGAGCACTGTACAAAACCAGCCCTTATTCATGTCAACACTTTCTACCTAGCAAAAGTCTAAGTTCTTCAAGAGCTGGTGAAAGAAAAAAAAAAAACCACCACATGGAGTAACTGAACCTGGTGACTGAAAAAAAATGACGTTACAAACCTTATACAAAAATGCAGCAAGACAAGCAAACTTCTGTAAAATTGTGCCTATCCTTTCTTACCTGATCTTGCCATTAGCACAGCAGCAGTCAGGAACAAAGTGATAAACAAAATATAAAACGGATGGCTTTCAATTATCTATTGCTGCATTTTTTTTTTCCAACAAATGCTGAGAGGAAAGACAACAAAGAGCACCTGTCCAAGTAAATCTTTTGAAAAAGCCAAATATTAACTTCTTTGAACAAAAACAACACAGTAGAAAGACAAAAATGAATTAGACTACCAGACACTTTTTTTTGGGGGGGGGGGGGGGGGGGGAGTTTGAGATATATGTAGACAGTTAAGTAAGTTAGAGCTATCAAAAGTTCTTCCTTAATATTCATCTGACCACCAGCACGATGGATTTTTGGAAGCAAAAAAAAGACTTCAGGTGAAGCCCCCACCACAGGTCAGGAATTTTGCTCTCTATCACTTCATGATGCTCTAGGAAAACTTTGAACTGAGCAAACAAAGTATTTCTAAAGTCAAGCTTTAACCCATTAACTGTTTAATGAAGCTCAGTATCTTCTTTTTAAGAGGAGATCCTTAGGCTTCATTTCAGCCTCTCCTAGTTAGAAGGAGCACATACCCATCTTGCTGCAATGGTCCAAAAAGAAAAACACAAAACTCACTGAAACTGACAAAGTGTCCAGGCTTCTCATACTTAAACAGATTGAACATCTAACCGAAGTTACCTTTCACCAACTATACTGAACACCAAAACAGAGATGCAAGTAGAAGATGGAACCTTTCATAAAAAACATACAAGTTGAGAATAAGCTTTTCCACCAAGATGCCAACCTTCGGAGGACAAGTTAAGATCTGCTGACTCTTTACCCTGAATCCTACATTTAGTTTTTTTCAGCAACAACACCGTACATGCTCTGTCACAAGTGATGTAGGTGCACTCTGTGAGGACCATGTCAACAAGACATTCAAACAGTCATGGTGTCCCAATCAACCATGATGCTCTACAGGCCACCACCACCAAACTCACATTTTCATTAAATCCTACACCCTTACACTCGTTGCTTTGGAGGCTTACTAATTCAACAATAAAATTCCTAATGAAATATAACTGAAAATGTCATGTTTAATCGGAAAGAGAAAGCTACAGAAGCTGAAATAGTGGGGCAGGGGGGCAAGGGGGGAACTCGGGACACCTTGCTCGCAGAGCTGAGACACAGGGCAGCCGGGCAGAGGCGCGGTCCGACACTCGCCGCCGCGTAAGAGGCCTCAGATGGGAAAGGGGGACCCGCGGAGAGCGACGCGCCCCTCTCGCTCCGCGGCCCAGCCCCGAGGCTAAACCCACCTGTCGGAGTCC